TGCTGTGTTTGCAGCACAGTGCATGCAGATATTGGAAGCTGTGAATGCTCAGCTCTGCCTGGCTCATGGGCTTCTATTCCTGCTATGGCAAGCTAGCACCTTTCCTCGTCCTTTCCAATTATCACTTCCCAGACAAACCTTCCGATCCGGCCAGTTGTATTTTTCAAACACAGCTTCGTAATCCTCCACTGCTCCATCTGTGATCAGCATGATGGCTTGGTTACACAAGCCTCCTTGACCAGCATCTCTGAACTAAAAAGAGACAGGAACAGCATTAGTTGTCTCAGCATCTGATTCTGTGTTTTTACAGCATGTTTATTGATGGCGGGCCAGATCCTGACTCCTCATGCAAAATTTTACACTATCTGCAGGAAGAGCTCTGCTTAAAAAAGGATTGTGTTTGTAAGCTCCATATGTATTTTTTGTTTATACAGCCCTTCCTAACACAGGTAGTCACAGATCCTTCATAGAAGTAAAAAAACAAGAAGAAAATAAGTGCTGTGGAGGAAGGGTGGGACTCCCTGCTGCCTCACAGCTTGCACGGTTGCATTCATTCATTCATGCAAAGTGATTACAGGCTGACCATAAACACCACCATTCTGACTTGACAGCAATTTTTAATCACTTCATAAGTCAGGAAACTTGAGAGGAGGGGGAATCAGAGTTATTATTTCAGGCTAAATCCATCAATCTGCCAAATAAAGAGCAGGGAAAGGCAGGAACACATGGAGAAAAAAGAGGGGGGGATACTGCCATGAGAGCTGAAATAGGCTATKGATGTGCCAAATAAAAATGTAATGACAGAGGATCTGTTATCTGGGAATGAGCAATGTTTAAGGTAGAGTAGAATTATTGTAGGGCTATGGTACAAACATAAATATTCTGTTTCCAAAGTACACACACACACAGGTGTTGAAAAGCTTTGCTCTTACAGGCAAGCAATAACCTGACTGCTTAGGCAGGAAGACCAGCCTTTGAAAGCTGCTTATCTAATRCTCCTGGCAGCAATGCCATTTGGCTCATGCCCTCAGGTGCAGCAGCTCTAGAGGACTAAGTGCTTTATGGAGTACCAGCACAGGTGTCACCAAGTAAAGCAGCAGCAGGCTGCCTTTGCTCACATCAGGGAGCAAAAACGAGCAGCTACTTTGCTGCGCCTCCCAGCTCCGTGTCAACTTCTTTTCCTGCAGAGCATCTCTCTGCTCCTATGCTCAGAGCAACAAAAAGGCTGATCAACAAAGGAGGTTCACAGAAGCTGATGGAGATTAAAAATATGGAAGGAGGGAGATATGACAGGTTCACTCAGGAGATTAATGAGAGGCAATRGCGTGAGATAGTGGGTGTGTAGGAGACTAATCTGAGGATGACTAAGGCTGTAGCAGACACAGCAGTGACTTTAAATGGTAGATGGGCAGCTGTATCTCAGAAATTAGGAAATGTAGTAAGACAGGTAAATAAAGCAAGCACCACCACTGGRAAACAGAGTGCGGACTGGGACTCGTTAGATGTTTTAGGTTTCAATTCACAARTCTCTTCCAGTGTGGTAATGCCATGTTAGGACAGAAGACAAATGCCTTTAGGATCCCCCTGCAGATTAACATCATGACCACTGATACCAGGCAGCCGGGTCCATACTCTGTTACTTCTGCAGCCAGGTTTCCCCRGTCATTTTACCACTCCTACCATCACCAGTTACCAGGTTCAGTGCCAAAAATCGCCATAATGTCAGTGTCCATCACCGTTTATGTCAGCAGTCCTGCCTCTTACAAAATTAGTCTTGATATCACTGAAATACAAGTTAGTCTACCACAACGAGATTGGACTCAGTAGCTTCTGAACAGCCGCCACTAGGACCAGGTATGACTCCTTCCCTCCCGATTTCTTAATAATCCCATTATTTGCCTTTCTAACCAGGACCAGGAGTGATGATCTGATATGAAAGAGAAGGGTGGTTTAACAGGGTCCCAACTAGCTGTTCTCAGGCACGTCTTCCATGATGGGTAGTAAAACAGAGTGAGGCGGTTGGGCTGGCTCCTCTCTCACACCACCTAAAGCAGCACGTTCAGAGACGAGACTTGCTGCACCTCTGCAGCTGTGGTCATGCCAATACAACGGTGGCATCTCCCATGTCTTTCTCCACGGGGCCCACAAGGTCCGACTTTTCCAGGGAATTTTGAAAGCAAAGAAGGTGCATATGATGAGAAGAGAGGTCTGGAAAAGAGGACTACTTAGACCATCCATGGCAGAGCATAGGGCCACACTGGTGGGGGAGATGCTGTCCAAAGCAGGTTCAGGTTGAKCTTATGTGAACCTTATGACTATGAAGGCAGTTTATTCCAATCTGTTGCAATCTACAATATGGTTTAAGCGATTATTAAATTAATACTTAATTGAAGTCAGCCGCCATTTCATCAAACTATTTAAGACATCTGTTCACATAGAYTACTTCAGACCTCATAACACTGAGATACAGAGAAATTAAATACAATATCACAACCAGCAATCTCCTAATTATAGAAATAGGCTATATTTTAAACAGGGAAAATGAGATCATTAGTATCACAGAAATAGTGACTAAAAGGCAGGTTTAGAAAACAAATGAGTAAGAGGTAATCCCTGATTCTTAGGTCCTTTCATACATGGCTCCAGCAATGACCTGAAAGCGTCTGCAGGCCTTTTACAGGCAGCTCTGTGTATTACTGTTTGCTCTGCTTCACCTGACAGGTGAAGTGATGGGCGAGATGCCCTGGGAACGGACACGTCTGCGCTGCTGTGTGAGGGGGCCGCAACAAGTGCAGGGGGCACCAAGCTAGGCACTGTCCTCACACTGCCAGGAGTAACAGGCATGATCTACTTCATTCACGGTCATATTCTCTGGTACGCCCTCATCTGCTCGTGGCCTTTTGTTTTGCAGTGACAGCCTGGCACGGAGTCACTGGGGCATCAGCACAGCTCAGTGGCGTGTGTGGGCACTGACAAACGAGATGCACATCGGACATGATGAAGGAGCAGCCCCTCTCCCTCTCCTCCTGCCCTGCTCACGCTGTTGCTGGATGCAGCCCTGCCTGTGATGCAGTTCTTGCCACCCCTGGCCTCYGGAATTAGTGCAAATTCAAGTGGGATCGTTCCCTAAGGAGAAAATTAAGAGTAGAGAAAGAAACAGAAAACCAACGATAAAGAAATGAGAGATGGAATTAAGTAAAATGTCTGGTGAATAAGCTGGTAAATAGGAAACCCAAGGTTTATGCATGCTGAAAAATATGCTGCAAAATCCAGATCCATAAAGATGCAAACAAGATCAAGGGGAAGTTTTATCATCATTCAGATAAGAAACAAGAAAGGGAGCAAAAGGAATACATGGCAGATGATAAACAACAGAAGGCTGAGGCTTTATGGCCTCTGTGCTTCATCATCAAAAGGCCAATATTGTCACGGCCGGGTACATACTTAAGTGGTGAGGAACAAAGGAAGGATGGAATTACAGGCACAATCATAAAGCCTATGGCTAAAGGCAGAAGCAATTGAACATATTCAGGTAAACTGTGCTCCTCAGGAAGGGACAGAACTGCCAAGGTGGTCCTGGACTGCAGAATCACAGGCTGGGGTCTGAAGGCACCGCTGCAGATCATCTGGTCCTAYGCCCTGCTCAAGCAGGATCACCTAGAACAGGCTGCCCAGGACTGTGTTCAAGTAGGTTTTGAATATAGCCCAGGATAGAGATTCCACAGCCTCTCTAGGCAACCTACTCCGAGCACAACCACTCCCCAGTAAAGAAGTAGTTTCTTGCATCCAAACAGAATTTCCAGTGTTCCAGTCTGTGCCCTTTGCCTCTTGCCCTGTCACTGGGCACAGCTGGGAAGAGTCTGGTCACTACCTGGTCTGAGATCTGAGTGTGACTGGTCACTACCTGGTCTGAGATCTGAGTGTGACTGAGTGTGAGATCTCAAAGGATGGGAGGGAATCATCAGAAAATGTTTTACAAGAAGGGAAAAAAAAATACATGAATGAACTGAGCTTAAATATCTAGCACATTCCTAGAAAAATTAGTAATACTTCTTTGTATGAGTGCTCAAAGCGAATGCTTCCTCACACAAGTTGGACATAAAGCAGTACAAACTACTCTGACTTCCTGCATTAGCAGATGGGTTTACTCTTTAGAGAGCGTCAGTTCTGCTCAAGATGCACAGAATTGTATTTCTCATAGAAAACCAATTTAGTACCAGTATCACCATTTTCCCACCTATACTCATTTTTGAGTGACCTATTCACAATTAACCTCATAAATTATTGCCCTTCTGTGTTCAGCCATGGACCAAGGCAGCATTACCTCAGATTGCTGTTAAGAGGAAAGATTATTCTAAGGYGGCCTCATGGAAGGGAACCTGGGATCCCTCCACAGTCAAAAAAAATAGCAGTTTTTAGAAAACATATTTACTCTGAAGTAGATCCTGAGAAAAGAGAACTGGTAACAATGAGATTTTTCAATGCCTTGTTTTCAGAAATTCATATATAATAAATACATGAACATATAAATGGTTCTCAGGATTAGGCTAGGACATGAGTGTGCTAACATATAAATATATATACACACATAAATAATATATGGCCTATCTACGTAAGTATATAAATTGACTTGCAATTACTTTACACTGGAAAACAGAATAACAGGCTGAGTTGTGGATCAGGAGACTGATACTGTCTGGGAAGGAGCAGCTAGAGGTGGATCAGCTGGGTATGAATTAACAATGTGACAGTATCTAAAGAAAGGTAACTGATGTCTTAGGTTGTGTTAGGAGGCCTATTGTGTGTAAAACAAGAAAGGTAATTATTCTGCCCTGCACAGCACTTGATAGCCCTCAGCTGCTGCACTTGCCAACTGTCAGGAGCTTCATGTTTCAGGGAAGGCAGGAGAGTGGAAGCAGCTGAGAGCAGAGCCCTGGCTGCAACAAAGGGTTATAAATCCTGCAGGAAAAGGAGGAGAGAACAAGAGCTGCCCAGCTTCTTGAAACAAAGAGAAGTTTGCAGTGAGGTAGAATAAAGCCTGCGAACAAGAAAGGAACTCAAAGGTAGCGCTTGAGAATTTTTAAGTACTTTATAAATGTGTGGTTAACACCCTCCTCTCCCTGTGATGCAAATTTGATTGAAACTACTCGGCATGTGGCTAAATTTAAATAGAGAGTTTAAGTGGCTTACCCAGCATGGCGGGGAAGCGCTGGCTAACTGCTCTCCTGAAGCTTTCCTGTGAACTGCAACACACATTAAAACATGCCCCGTCTGCCCCAGAACATCATGGCAAAACAAAAATGCGAGAGGCTGAGCCTGCTCTTTTTCACCCCCTCTCTGCTACAGGTACCTTATTGAGTAGGTTGTTGTCGGGCTATTAATTCTGTGAGCAATTGGATCAGGAACAAATTACCAAGGAAATGTTGCAGTCCCTTTCATTATAGGTATAATTGCTGGCTGTCTATTCAGCAATGTCCGTTTCACTGGTGTAATGCACTGCTTTTCATCCTTCTCTTGTGTRCTGTGTAACAGGACAGTCTGTGAGGAACAGATACAATTGGAAGCTGAGGGTGGGAATTCTGTCGGAGGGGAAGGGGGGTGCTGTTTCCACACTTCCCCCATCTCCCTTCTGCTCTCYAGCCCAGCCATGCACATTATTTGTGAGGCTGCAGCAGCACCATCCTCTGATTTGTTTCAGGACTCTCTGATGTCAACACTTTCCCTCCCCTACTCTTGATATCGATCTGGCCAGCTCTAAGAGAAGATTTCATGGTGTGCATCAAGCACGTGCACACCTGGAGCTGCTGTTTTGCCTCAGCCAGGCAGAACGTGACAGTTTTGGGAAGACTGCTGCAGAGTAACAGGGGTGTTTACATAGTGGTGTGCCTGGGTAAATCCATCCAGCCCCTGGGTCTGACACACGGCTGCTAGGATGTGATCTCAGTCTCTTCTAGAAGTCATTGATGACACTGAAATCCTGGGGTGCTATTGTGAAGTGACTGAAGAGATAAGGTAGCTCTGTACATATGCAGCCCTTCCATGGCTGGCTGCAAAGAAGTCTCTCAGCTGATGTCTTCAGAAACCTTGGGTTTAGGCCTAGGTTGCTAAAGATGAGAGCTGTAGTCTGTGCTTTGGTGGAGGGGCTCCCTTCTGTCCCACTGTGAGAAGGCTGCAACCAGTGCTACTGGGAAAGGAGAGCTGAGCAGATGTGTGTCCATAGCTCAGTTCCCCACTCCTCCTCTACCTGCAAATTCATGCAAATTCCTGTTTAGTGGACTTGCATACCGCCATGAAACAAGCCACAGCACACTTCTGCTGGCTGAAGAGCTTCTGCAGTGTCTGTACCTGAGTGACTGTACCTAATCCTTTAGTCATGTCAGTACAGATGCAGAGCACTCTGGTGCTGTTCTCTGTGCTGCTCCTGTCAGCAGAGACAGCAGGGTGGTTTGCAGGAATCAATGCCCATCAGCTGGGTGAGTGATTCAGCACCCCGAGCCAGCAGCTCCCAAGGTGTAAAGAGGAGAAAATGGACACTAGGAGTCACCTAGAACACAGTCACCTTTCCTTCTCTGCAGATGTCCAAGTCAAGGATGCTGAGATGTCCAAGTCAGTTACTCTCTCCTCAGAACTGGGGTGATCATGAAAGACAGGAGGGAAGTGGCATCTCACCTCTGGAGTAAACGACATCCGGAAGGGTTATTACCACTGGGTGCTGTAGTGGCAAGTAGTAATCTCGCTACTTTGTTGACCTTAGATTGAGGCAGAATCAACAAGGGTCAAGAAAAGGGATTTTTACTTACATTGTTCATTGCATTTTGCATACTGAATGCAGAGGAAAATATTTTCTGTCTGACAAAGAGGAACTGCTTCTCTGTTACTGCAGTGGACTTAGGTTAATCCACTGGGCTGCAGCAGCCTGGCTGAAGGTACACAGGGTTTTATAACAATATCCTGCCTTCTGGAAGCTTGCCCGGTCTAGTGGGTCAGATTGTCAGAAGTCTCTCCGTGGGCCACACTGGCTGGAGGGGAGCTGTGAGGTCTTATCAGTGGAATCAGCCCTGTTTTGATGTCTATGTCCAGCACAGCTAGTTGCTATTTCAGCTGGGGCAAACAGGCCTACGCTCCCTTCTTCCCAAAACCCTCCAAGTTTTACTGCCTGAGGGAGTCTGCCTCTTTAATCCACTGTCGTTGTAGATAACCAGTGCTACATTAGAAATTAAGAACTAGATTCTCTGTGTAAGTATTCTGATTTAAGAACTCAGGTCTATATAGGCTCCAAATATTTCAAAGGTAAAATGAATTTAGTCATAAAAATGCAAAGTGGTACTTAGATGATTCTAGCAGACATCTAGTGTGTATAATGAATTCCAGCTTTATACCATTACTGCTTCCCTGTTCTTTTCAGGCACCATCTTCTCCAAAAGATACTGAATCATTACCAGGAGTGCTGCCATCTTATTACTGCAGTGACAATGCTTCACGATTATTCTCAGATTGCCATTAAATTTGTTTTGGCACTGACAAGACAGCTACTGCCATCATGGGATAATTTTCTGACCGTGTTTGCACTAAGATAAATTAGAAACAAATTTTCCGTAGACAGTGAACTTAAAACTTACAGTTTGCAAAACAATTAAGAGCAGAGAATCTTTCCCTCTGGAACCTTAGGCATCAGCACCATCAGCATTGCTAGCATTGTGCTGTCTACTTATTTCTGCCAACAAAGGCATTGACATCTCCCTGCCTGCCTCGCAGTATGGTGGCGGCAGAGTTAAGCTGAGTTCTTGGTCCTTTTTGTATTAACATTCCTTAAGAGACAGAGTTCAGACATATGTTTACCTCCAGAACACTAAGGATTTTTCACACAAGTCAGTCAGCCACATAAGACAACAGAGCATTTACTAATCTTATCACAGGACATGATGACACTGACTTTGATTAATTCTCCTGCACCTGTGGTTTCTATGAAGAGCCCTGATCCTCAGAAGAGTAATATTCAAATAAACCTGAAGCCTGAGAATCATCTTTCATGTCTTCACCATAACCTACTTACCGAGGCTCGYTAACAACATTACATAAATAATACGATCGGAATTATTGCCTTGAACTTAGCAGTTAAATTTTATTGCCAACATCAATAACCAGGGTATCTCCCACCACGCCGCTATCAGCGGTGTTCGCACRGAGGGATGGATCCTGCATCCCGGGCCCCATCTCCAGGGCTCCAGCCCTCAGGCTGCAGCGCACTCCTCGATGCCAGCCTGGAGGCTCGTTAAGAAAACACAAGGGCACAGCCTGAGCAGCTTCTGCCCCATCATTTTGGGCGCATACAAGATCAGCCCCCAGTCCCTAACTCTCACAGGAAACAAGAGTCTGATTGCAGCAGAAAACAAAAACTTCTCTCCAATTTAAAGCCCACAAGCATCTTGATTCCTGTGCCTGCAGGCACTGCTCCTGCCAGCAGCTCGCTGCCCATCCCTGCCCATGGTGCTGCCCTCCTTGGCAGCAATCAACTGCTCAGGGCCATCACATGCAAAAATCAGGTCCTCCTGCACCACCTGGGSTGTCTCTAAAACCAGCTTGCCCCTGCACATTGCTGGTTTTTGAACTGAGGACCCTGGAGATGCGATCAGTTCACCCTGCCGTGCTGCGATGGCTGTGCTGCCTGTTGGCAGTGGAGGGGAATGGTGGGGTGGGCTCGGGACAGGCTCACCTTGCAAGTTTCTCTTACCTCCCTCAGGATTTTGAAGGATTCTGTCAAGGCTTTGTTCACAGTTCCCATTCCTTTAGCCTGCAATTCATCTACCAGCTGTTTAAAGTGCTGGAAATAAGAGAGACAGAAAAGCAGTGATGAGTTGCAGGTGGCAGGTAGGGCACTTTCGTGGAGAGAGTCTTACCTATAAATTGGTTAGATTTTAATTTGGCCTCATTTGGTTGAAAATGAAACCCTCAGAGAGAAGCCCATGAGATGGACAGCATTCTCCACCCAGAAAGGCTGGAGGATCCCTTAAGACACTCTGCTGAGACATCACCCTCTGGAGCTAAACAGGGAAAGAAACTTGGAGCAAAAGCCAGTTGTTGAACACATGGAATGGGCTGTGTGAGGATGTGCAACTTCATCATACTAATTCACAGACGGAAAGGAAGAAAAAAAAAATTAAGAGCTAAAAATACGAGTGAAGCCAGAGGGTGGTGGAGCAGCCAGGCACAGACAGCCCACCTCAGGGCTGCAGCTGCTGAGCCCTCCTGGGTCAGAGCAGCAAAACCCCAGTCACAGAAAGCCCGCTGGGAAAGTACCCAGGCAGCGGGTCAGGCCAGGCTGAGAAAGCCTGGCCCATCCCAAGGGCTGATGTTTCTCCTTTCTCAGGGCTGAGAACATGGGGTTGCAGAGCACCTTCACCTTCTGCTTGCGTTTTTTTCCGTGGCAGGTTCACCTGTGCTCCAGCAGAAGTGGTGCCGTGTGTGTTGGGGCCTTGGGAAGCTGACTGTTGACAGCTGGCCTGGTATTACAGCAGCTTTGCAAAGGCAAAAACACACTGAGGAACCAGGACACAGCACAGCACTGGAGCCCACTCCTGAGATGCAATCCTTGGAGTTTCATGCCACAGCATCCTAAGCCTGTGTTCTTATTACACTACGAGAGCAAACCTAACAGTATCAATAAGAGTCTGGTACTCACCTCTCTGTTATCTCTGTCTGCTTGGACCAGGATACCCTTAAAACAGGGCTCAATAAAATGAACATAATCATTATACTGCAAAGACAAAATGAAAAGAAAGGGGTTATAATGGGGGAAAGGGGTAGGAGAACACAAAACTGGCATTCTTAAGTGGATATTCAGAAGAACAGTAATGAGAATTATGCTACTCTATTCCTTTTCTTTTTAGAATTGTATGTATCAGTCAGGGCAATTATAATATTGATAAATCCTGTTTTTTAATTATGATTTTTTTGCTAAGTTCCATTTGGGCACATCCACAAGCACTGTAGCTATTTTTTTTCACTCAGACATCCCAGAACTCTCCATACCCTACTAACTTGTGCTTCTGACCTTGATTCCAGAACTATTTGCACATGCTTTTGACTTCTGGAGTCCCCAGCCATTAGGTGACCCTTGCAAATGACTTTAGCTTAAGCTCTAATGTCTCTCTCACATGGCTGAATGATGACAGACCATCAAGTTACCACACATCAGCTAACTGTGATAATCAGTGATGTGTGCTGCTAGACAGAAGGCAAAGCATGCCAAGGTAAACCTCTTTCTCTAAGGACYAGACGAGTATATTTTACCATGGGCTATGAAGGCACAGATGGTTACAAGGCTCTGTTTACGAACAGGAGTTTAGATCAGACTAYGAAGTGTCTGAGTCAATAGGTTTTTCTTGTAACTGTAGTAAAAATACATATTATATGATTTTTCTGTATTTATTTATTAAGAACACAAGACCTTTCCGGGTCCTTAATGACTTCCTTTCCAWTCTCTGCCAACACTCTTCTCCATCTACACATCTATTTAAAGACAGAGCTGTCACTACTGGAATTTCCAACTCTCTTATACAATGGGAAGCTATCAACAAAAACTAGACTGTATCTTGGTGATCATGCCTTCACAAAACTTGTTTTGGAAGGTCTGAGGAGAATTGCTTGAATTAACTTTAAAAATATGAGGAAAGCTGCCATTTGCCTTTAACGTGGCACAATCCTCCTCCCTCTCCAKCCAGCCTTGATGTGGATCATGTAAAGATTTTGCTTTCTGAGGTCAATGTTGCTGGTCCTGTGTGAGTAACAAGCCCACCCTCATACTGGTCATGGTTATAGAGAAACTTCTACATAACCTAACACTCTACATGGCTTTGCAAATTGGCCTAAACTGTA